TGACACGGCCGTTGGTGGAGGAACTCGAAAAGGAACACATCGGTGAATTCGGTGAGCCACTCGCTGAAGATCTCCCCGAAATACTACACTATATGCCTGCAAATCCGAGGCAGCCAATAATGAAGCAGGTGGTGCACGCACTCCACAAGACCATGAATCGAACTCTGGGACTGTCATTACCACTGGGAGATGTCAGGTCTCTGGGATTTCCAGGGGCACATGGACTCCTTGGGATTTCTCCGAGATTTCCACAACCCTCACGTCAAAGATGGTTTTGGCACCTGCTTGAACATTGATCTGGCAAGACCATGTCACATCATCTTCTCCCTACATTCCCTCTCCCCCAAGAATCACATTCATTTATGTAGCTCCCAAGAAAACATCCTGTCTTCGGCAACACTTCAACCTGAAAGCGCGTTGCTCAGGTACCTAGAGCTCCCAACGTTCGAGGAGTCTATCCAAGTAAGCGACCGACCGCAACGGCAAACCCGGCCCAAGCGGCATAGAACCCGCTCAGCCCAACACAGGCCTCCAGCGGAGAGCCCTGCTCATCCGCCCCCAGGCAAGGCACTGCCTGCGCAATCTCCTGCTGCGCAGCTCTCTTCTGCAAGGCGCTGTCGTCCTGCAGACAGGATCGCGCAGAATATACGTACTACTGCCGACCGCTGCCGCTCACCGTGTGAAACCAACAAGAAGGGAGGTCAGCTGGATTTATCCCTGCAAGCCGCGCAAGCCTGATGTACCTCCTTTGGGGGAACGGTTCTATATATTCCTAATCAAACAAGAGACCAAGAAAGCGTGACACATGTAAAAGACGATCTTCTTAATTTTCAGGAAGATGACGTTTCCCACATGTGTGTTTTGGATCTGGTGTCACACACCCGTATTTCGAGCACAAATCGACCAAACGCCGACCTCGCGAAGAACACGTTCACGCGAGTCGAAAGTGAGCCTTCAACATGCAGATGTGAGCCCCAGAACTCACAATTGCATCGGGTTGGTTCCGTATGGGTTTGCAATGGCCTCTCGATTTTGGGGAACATCGAAAATACGCGTTCCATCGTGTTCCGTATAGGCTGGTAGGTTGATGTTTGGGTTCCGTTTTTTGTGCGATATTTGCGGTGTCCGTTTTTCTTGTCAGTCTATAGGTTGATGGTGAGAGATTCCTCCTCCCAAATCCCAAAGATAAAGCGAAGAGAAGGCGAGAGGGCGAGAGAGAGGTAGCATGGAGCTTGAACGCGGTCAAAGGAGCCACCTATAGCTCCAATGAACCGCCAAGGACAAGGACTACTGGGGGTCCACGTTCTGTGCAGCACAATATTGTTATATGCTTTTGATCTTCTTGATGATTCGTCCTCCCACCAGCAGCAAGCAAGGAGCAAAAAAGGAACATTGGAAGCGAAGGGCAAGTTGCAAGTTTCCAGGCACTAAAGGCCAAGCACATCAAATCAGGTGGCCTGCTTTTGTCGGGCGGTCCTTCAAATCTAAAATAGTTGATCCCCTGCAGCTTCGCCACCAAACTCTGAGCCCACGCTGCCCGGTCCTCCACAAAAGTCCGGACCGTTAACGGTGAATCCGGGTGAATCAGTGGCTCGAAGCCGATGAGGTCAAACCGGGCCAAGCCGGGTCAAACACTGACAGCGCTAGCTGAAGTCAAGTTGATCAAAAATGCAAAAACCCGCAGACAGCTAATTGGACCTCTCTTGATGTCTCAAAGCTGTTGAGACAAGTTGCAGAGACTCGTGGAATTACGGCCAAGCTCTGCCAGGCGACTGGCGCTCCTGGCCTTGGCACATGTGCGCACATGCAAGCATGGATGGACTGACGGATAGACAGTCGGATGGACTGTCGGATGGAGCTACATGCATGCCAGGCAAAGGGAAGCGACAGGTCTAGGCTTTGTGAACCTGCAAAAACAAACTGTTGTCTCCCCGTTCTGAGTGATTATGACCCATGAATGTGACAGTGTTGTTCCTCCGCCCCGACTATGGCGTTTGAGCGGCTCACCCGAGAGACTACCCTTTAACGCCAAGTTTCGAGAAGGCTTCGCAAGGGCTCTTTCGGTCGGGCGCCATCAGTTGCGGGAAGGTCCTTGAGCATCTTGACCTGTGAGCTGGGCAAGTATTGCATTGCAGAAAGACTTCTTGCGAAAGAGCCTAGTACAGGGTCATCATGGACGATTTCATTCCCATCCGCTGGGTGCTTTGCTGGTCATTATTTAGAGAGCTGCCCTCTAAACATTGAGTGGCAAGGGATAGAATCTCTATAAAATGACAGGCAAAAGTGTTTATATAAAATGCCAAGCCACATCCAGGTGTGGCTAAGGAGCAGTGGAAGAACATGCTCTGTAAAATGACAGGCATAACATCCACGAAGCAGAAAGAAGAGGGCTCTATAAAATGAATATCCAGATGAATGGGTATAAGATGTTGGGAAACCCGTTTTCACTAAAAATGACAATACTGGATCCCAACATGGGAAGCACGTGTTCGCTAAAAAAATGACATTACTGGATTCAAACATGTCTGCACACATCTGCGCGACGAGCCTGATAGTGTACTCATGTGTCTTTGATAGTCTTTTATTTTTGAGGTTCCACAGGTGAAACATATCTCATCATGATGAAATTGATCAAAAATTGGCGCGCAAGCGTTGGTTCTAAAAAATGGCTATGCCAGATTCCCGCTCTGACATGATCTCCAACACCAAATTCTCTATAAAATGCTTTGCCAGATCCACCTAGTGTGAACGCAGCTTTTCTATAAAATGACTAACCAGATCCCCAAGCGGGACACGTCCATTTCCGACATACGCCTCTAGAAAATGCCTTGTCCAGGGATCACTAGGCATTCCATAAAGTATCCAAAAACAGTCCCAGAACCGCCTCTATAAAATGTCTTTTCATGTCTTCTCAAAACTCTCAGCAACTACCCTCTCTACAAGGTGACTACCCAAAAGGCATTTTATAGTGGCAAGGGATCCCCATTTCTTAGAGACCCAGTTGCGGGGGATGCCCGAGCCGATTGAACACCCCGTGAAACTACTCCTAAAGGCTCTGGTCGCCAGTTGCTTTGCTTCACACCGCCCTTGCCGGAGTCTGAGTCATACCCTTCTTGGGCAATTTAGGACGGGCAACCTCTTTTTCAAGACCGGTCCTGGCAGTCTAGCTGCAATGACCACTATTTAACTCAATTCCCAGTTGTCGAGAACACTGACCAGAAACCGGACATGGATGGCGCAACTCTGCGGACAACGATGCCTTAATCAATGCCAAGTTTCACAGTCTGGTGCGTCCCCTGGGTCCACCATTGCCCGGCCCGCAGCAACGAATGGAGAGCAGAGGGGGAAAGGTCTTTTCGATGAGCGAATGTGTTGATTCAGTCTCTATAATTGATGGACGTCACCTGCAAGTCCAGGAAGCGTCTTTGGCGTTGGGGTCCAATCTACCCTTTTCCTCACGACCATTTTTTGTTGTCAACATGTATGCTCCTGGCTCTTCTTCTTCTTTTTCATGCTCAAGCCCGCTCAAACCCGCTCACAGTCGCAGAGTTCTGAACGGGGTGGGTTGAACAACTCGATGTGACCCTGGAGACCACCATTTTGCTGGTGCATGGTGGAGGGCCGCCAGCTGAGGGTTCCAGAGTTCCCTGGTCTTTAAGACCGTTTAAGACCTCCTTAAACACTGCGACGTCATGTAAACTGGAGCGTGCTCGAAGGTTAAAAAGGCAATCATGTTCACACCTGGCTAAAATTAATGTACACACATATCTAGGTACAAACATGCACCCCCCCCCTCAAAGTACATTTCATAGGGGGTACCTCGAATAAGAAGATAACAATATTTCCAGAAAACCGCGTATTGGCAGTATGGGCCTCTGGGGGGTGCAACAAATTTTGATTGTTTGAGCCTGCCAAGGAATTTGTGATTTTTTGTCTACCCCACCTTGCAAAAACACTGGCAGGCTCAAAAAAATCAAAAGACCATAATCACAAAACCCTGGCAGGCTCAAAAACATCAAACAAATCTAAAGTGTTCGCATCTATGGGGGCTCTGGGGGGTGCATAATTTCTTGTTTTTTTTTTTTTTTTAAACCTGCCAAGGAATTTGCTATGTTTTATATACCCCACCTTGCAAAAACACTGGCAGGCTCAAAAAAAGCAAGAATTTCAAAAGGCATTAGTCACAAAACCCTGGCAGGCTAAAAAAAAAAAGGATCTATGGGGGGTCTGTTTGATTTTTTTTCTTTTGAGCCTGCCAGTGTTTTTGCAAGGTGTGGTATATAAAAAATAGCAAATTCCTTGGCAGGCTCAAAAAAAAAACAAAAACATCAAAAGGCCCTAGTCACAAAAACCTGGCAGGCTCAAAAAAATCAAAAAAAACAAACGTGTTAGGATCTATGGGGGGTCTGGGGGGTGTATAAATTGTTGCTTCTTTTGAGCCTGCCAACGAATTTGCTATTTTTATATACCCCACCTTGCAAAAACACTGGCAGACTCAAAAAAAGCAAAAAAATATACACCCCCCAGACCCCGGACCCCCCATAGATCCTAAACTATCCTAAAACTTTTGATTTTTTTGAGCCTGCCAGGGTTTTGTGACTAGTGCCTTTTGAAATTTATGTTCTTTTGAGCCTGCCCGTGTTTTTGCAATTTTTTGTCTACCCCACCTTGCAAAAATGCTGGCAGGCTCAAAAAAAATCCACCAGTATATAGTTTATATTAAATATATATATTTGATCAGATGTAGGAGGATGTTCATTTAGCATTTTGATCAGACACCATATGCACATTGCAGATTCAGATTTGTTGGTACCCCCCACCTCCCCTATTTGTCTGAAAGTGTTGGTTTTGGGGGAGGGGTACGTAAATTAATGGAATCAAGCCAGCAAAAACTGTTCATGTGTTCATCAGTGCTGTTTATGATCTCTAATCTCCAAAATCCATCAACACCTAAGCTGAGCATGGTAAGAATGTGTACCCATGACATTCATGAGGAGGACCTGAGCAGTTGCACTGTCGCGATTCAGTCTGTAGGCTTCGGGATCCAGCAGCGCAGCGGTGGCTGAAGTGGTTCCTACGGATCCCGTCCTGAGTGCAGGTTGCCCAGCTGGAAAGTCAAGGGTACACAGGTCACAGGTGGCAATGAGGACCAGGATGGGCAAGGGCAAAGAAACAACGCCTCAGGTGGGCCTTCACGCAACCTGTTCAACACTTGCATTCAGGCTCATTAAGGCCTAGCTTTCGGCATCTGAAGTGGCCTGCTTGGTTGCTGGTGCAAAAGCATGTCGTTGTGCATGTATTGATATCAGATGTTTGTAGATTATATATATATAAACACAATATGATTGATTCCAATCACTCATGCCCATGCCCTCAGGCCGAGGCTGAGGAGGCTGGTGTAGGGCACTGAGGCGCCAGGGTGCTGCAGCACTGGTTGCAAGGAAGTTGTCGAGTTCTTTCACCTTCAAAAGGGCCAAGCAGCTTTGGTCCCAAGAACCAACCCAGGACGAGTTAGGATGAAACATCTCACAAGTGCCACACTGTGACACGTACTGCGTCAAACACGGGTCTTCTTGACGGTCTCGCTCAACAATGACCGGTTTTCACACACGACCGTCGTCACCATTCTGCCAAAAGTCATGCTGACTCGCATGAGTGTTCAGTGACTAATTAGATGGCTTGGCTGCCAATGAATAAGCTAATGTGATGAGATCCTACATTAGACGGAGCTTGACTGAATGGAGCTTTGTTGCAACACAAACCCGAACCCCTAAGGAGTGCAGGCAGTAGCAAGTAAGCCACTCCTGCAGTGAGTGTGAAGACAGGCCAGGCCTTCTGATACCTGTCACAAGTCATGTTCAATTGTCGATCACCAAAAGTGTGGAGCGTATACAACCTCTCTCGTGCATTCGAGCACTTGAGCGGCGGTCATCAAAGCAATGTCGCAATGATTTGGTTATGCATCAACTTATGGGACGCTCACCACAACAGGGCCAAGAGACTTGCTTAATCTCATACAGCGCTTTGCAAAGGCAAAGTTCTTCTGACACAACTCTTGCCAGTCATGTCGTGTCGTGTCATGTCATGTCTACAGAGCTTTATCCTGGCTCACTGGGACCCAAATATGTCGCTCTTCTGGAGGCTGATGTTTGTTTGCTTGATTCAACACTATATATATATATGTAATTATGTAATGAATTTATTTCGGCACTCGCGCCTCTTCGGTTGCTGCTTGCCAAGCAGTTCTAAGTGCGACAGTTGTGCAAGCCTCAGTGGCCACCAGTCACACCATGGAGGAACACAGGCACACCAAATCCTGTCGACATCCGGTGGGACTTGGTGGGACCATGTCCATGGGATCCAGTGGCACAGGCTTCATCCGGCCTTGGAAGCCTTGGCAAATATTTGGTTCCTATTAGGGAACCTTAACTAACAGCGATGGCCTCCAACCTAATAGCGTGGCCTCCAACCTAATAGCGCCTCCAACCCAATAGCGATGGCCTCCAACCTAATAGCGATGGCCTCCAATTTATATAATAGCAATGGCCTCCAATTTAAAAGCAGTGGCCTCGAACCTAATAATAGCAATGGCCTTCCATCTGGGAACCCTTGCGCTCGGCAAGCTCGAAAGACTTCTGCTGCTGCTTCATCCCTCATCTCTTCCAAGCGTTGACCTTCGAGGACAGCCTGGACAAGAGTCACTCTAAGGCTGAATTATGATAGGTTATCTATGTATACTAAATATAACTATATACTATATACATTGCAAGAGGTCTATGATTAGCTTAAGTAGGACACTACCAAAACGTCTCTCTATGCGGCAGGCACGTACCCTTTCAATCGCCTTTCAATCAAGCGCCAGCTGGTGCTCCAAAGAAGAGGGGCAGTGGTGTGAGGTCAAGGTTGATGTTTTGCCAACGTCTTTCGGGAAACCAATCTAAATAGATGTGGCTGTTGATGTGTCTGCATCGAATTGAATTGCAACCCCACTTCCCCACTTTCGGCACCAACATTGATGTATGTGGCTTTTTCAGAATGATTGTGCTGGCAATGGCTAGGCAAATCAGCCGAATGTTTGAATATAATTAAGCTGGACACTTGTGTGAAGGATGGTGCGCTTTCCCGTGTCTGCTATGAGCTACACTACAAATCGCTACCTATTGAAGCACTCTTTCACACTAATTATATAATACTTCTTAGGAGTCTTGTCTCAACTTTGCGACTCCCCTTCTTCCGCCTCTTTGAGCACATTCTTTGCAACATTCAGATTGGCCGAAAGCAGGGCATCCTGCGGGCGGATTTCAGCCAAGTCTGAGCATGCAGCTCAAAGAGCTTTTCTGCTACTAGGGGCTGCTGGCATCGCTACTAGGAGCAAGGACGCTACTAGAAGATACTATGCCAGTAGTCCTCTGACAAGAGCTTTTCCTTTGCTACTTCCGCGTGTGTCGAGCGTTTCTCCACCGCCTCACCGAGGCAGAAAGCAGCCAGAAATGGTAGAGACACAAAGACCGTTAGAGCTGTTAGACAAAGCAGAATCTCAAAACACCAAACAGTTAGCCGGCCTCCTCCAGTGCCTGCAGCCGAGTCGACCTTGACAAAATGCGGGAAAGTTATTGTCCTTCGGACCCAACTTGATGCATAATCCTGCATGAGAGTCTGGGATCTCCATGTGTTGTGTGAAGCCCGAGTCATGCGATGCCACTTTCCTGAGTTGCCTCCGCTTCAAGTGATGTCAATCAACAGGAGAGGACATGCATCGATGCGCATGAAGAAAAGGCCATGAACCGGGTGCACGTTGTCTTCCACAAGTGTCTGCACGCTGTTGCGCTAACCAACTTAATGTTGACGATGATAGGCAATGTTGCTTGGGCTGTTTATTGCCAAAGGCTTGCTTGGGTGTATCTTCCCAACACCCCGAAACGTCTGCATTCCTACACCAGCGCAAGAGAACAAAATTCATGCATGGGGCATATAGTTGCCCAAATGCAGATTGCTTAGGCTCATCAGTTGTGAAGCTATGCGTCATGCACATTATGCACAGCACTACGAGGCGGTATATACAACATAACAAAAGCGTTGCCTTTGACAGCCATTGCCACTATGATACAGCCCAATGCATATACTGACATGCTCACATGCAAGGACATGTTGATATGTATATATATATATATAATTACATATTATATATAGGCAATTATATATAGCTATAGGCATGCCATACACATACATCAAAGTGCAAATGCTGCAAACATGGCATCACATGAATGTATATATATACTATATATGATGTCTACTTCACAGTACGTAGCTATGCATGAGCCATTCCGTGCCTTTATTACACAGCATATGCTCACGCTGCTGAAGTTTGTGCCCGAGCGCCTAGGGGAAGTTCCGTCCACATCCTCCAGCAGCCAGCAAAGGTTAGCCAATGTCCCGGTCACATGAGTCACCCTCTCGATTCAAAAGGGCTGGCAGTCCTCCCGTGCTGACTTGCTCGGCTTCGGTCTGAGAGCAACAAAACGCAACACGCCAGGTCAGTTTGTTCACATGAAGTACGGTCAAAATTTAGCATGTGCGGCTGTTGCATCGTCATATTTGTGAGCCCTATCGTTTCCCACTGTTTTGGAACCTAAAGGGTGTCGTTTTTTGTGAGTCCCCTATCGTTTGCCAGGGCTTGGAGCATGCCAACACATGAATGCAGCGCTCTTATGCAACGGATTCCGACAGGTCTGGCAAGTGCATCCGAGGGTCGAGTGCATCCGGCGGTGGATCTCCGCAATGCTTCTTTGTAGCATGAGGAGCTCAGGCTTTTCAGCCTGGCCTTGGAGGATACATGTTGGATGAAGCATGGGGCTTTTCAGCAGGCGAGGGTTGCCTCATGCTGCCTCAAGTTGCTTCATGCTGCATGCTGCCTCAATGTCTCATGTCTAAAAATGTCACAAGAGCCCAGCGAGCTTTGCTTATTTCGATGATCAAGGGGCTGCGGGTCCCTTCATGTCTCATGTGGCGCCAGTGTGGTTATGTAGATAAGCATAACTGAATGCACCAGTGCACAGGCTGACCCCTCAACTATCGTTCGGTCCAATCAAACCGGCCGGTCAAGGCTTCCAAACAGTTCTCAACATCGAGTCCCTCACACTTCTCCTCTGCACATCTGCTCTCCTCCAAAGCCTGGCGGCCGGCTCCAAATGCAACCTTGTTCCTAGTACCTACTTGCTCCTAGTAGTACCGCCAGGAGCCAGTAGGGATGCCAGGAGCCCCTAATAGCTTCTTGTTCCTAGTAGCTTCCTCTACCCCCCCTTAAAACACACCCTGTGGATCCTGTGGAAAAAGACATAGTTACCCGTCATGGTTTGTGGAAGTATGGCAATGTTGTCGACTGGCTTGCTTAGGCTTAGCAGCATTGTAGGGATAATTAGGTCCATTCTGGGTGGGATTGAAGATTAAGTTCAACACCCTCGAGTTCAGCTTCTCAGTTTCTCTTGTGTTTGAACTTGAGCCTCTTTCATCAAAAGTGATCGGTCCAAACCCGCATGATACAGAAACACATCCCAAAGCGTAAATCTGATTTGGCCTCTGAGTGTTGCTTCAGCAAGGCCTGCCAAAGGCTGAACAATGGCACCCCAATTTGGAACCTGCAGCTTTTTGCCATGTTCCTTAACTCATAGGCAACCAAAAGCAAACAGCACAACTGGCTAAGATCCCCAGGCAGGAAGACTCGAATTAAAACGCATGAAACGCTTCACAAGTGATTGAAGGCTGCAAACCTTGCATTGACTGCCAAAGCCATGACTTTATGTGCGTAACAGTACGCCGGTACAAAGTAAGTAGTCAAGTCAAGGGCATTTGAAAAATAGACATGTTGCATGTCGCATGCCATGGACAAGTCCAATTGACACCAACAAATTCAATGCCCCGCCCCTGCCCGCCTGCAAGCGCCCATCGACAGTGCATGTCGATGCGATCTGTCAAACCGTTGTGGAACACGTCGACAAGGAGAAGCATGGTCCGGGCCCCGGAATGGTTGAATTGATATTACAGTAATATGATGTAATATGTTTGATTTATATTATGTTTGATATATACATATATTATCATATATTACAGTAGTGGATATTGCTGGTCTATCTGCACAATATGTGTGTGACGGGTTTGTCGCATGCCTCCAAGTCCTCTCGCAGCAAACGCTTCGCTGCGTACAATCGCTCAAGGCTTTCCGCGCTAACCTCAGCATGTGCGAGGCAAAACTGAGGCGTGTGGCCCCAAAAGTAGAAAGGAGACAGGACCGCCTGAACCCACAGGCTGAAATTCAGAATGTGCCCAAATTTGTGCATTCATGTGCATGACTCAAAGTGACTTGCCTGCATGACTTCACGCACAGCATTTCAGCCATGGGGCCTCAGCCCCGAGATTGCACAAAGAGCGCTGGGCTTGAGCTAGGTATTCCAGGGCTTCACCTGGGCCATAGGCAATCAAGGTTGTGTGTGTGTGTGCGTTCTCACATGTGTGGCCGCTCTTGCGTTGTTCCTTTGCAGAAAGGATTCATGACCTGCAGCAGCCAATTATAGTATCTACATTTATCTGCTAATCTGTCTATCAGACTGCTGTTCTGTCTCCGTCTTTATCAATCTAAGAGTCCTGACGCAGCATGTCACTGTGGGCCTTGGCCTCCTTGGGCGCCTGGGATCACACAGCACATCAGCATCGGCTTCCGAGGAGACAGTGCACCGCACCCATGCAGTTTTCCCCTGACCCTGACCGAGTCCCAAACCTACTATGATCAAAACACATCAGAAAAGCAAATGCAAGGGGCCATGATCTTTCCATCCTGTGTCCATCATATTTCGTGCCTCTGCCTCCTGAAGCTCGGCTCCTTCAGATCCGGAAAGGAGGTCCAGCCCTAGCAAAGCACTGGTGGCCCCCGAAAAAGACTTCTCAATGCCCACCCCGAATGGGGCAGTTTCTCCAGCTGAATCGTGGATTATCCATAATCCATTCACACTATTGTGTTACCGTGCGATACCGCCAGGCCACCACTACTTATAAGAATGCTGAAAAAATCAATGCTCAAGAACATAACAAAACATCTATATATATATATATATAAATCATATCAAACTAATTATATATTTAGGTAAGAAACATCAATCACCTCCGTGCAACCGAGTCACCACTTCCAAAGACAGGAGATTTCTCTTCGCTCTCGTCTTGCTTCTCAAGTTCTGGAAGTGAAGATTCGGCTTCAGGTCGGTCGTCACTTTGCTCATCCGCTGCATCTGCATCGTCGCCCACAGATTCTTCGCCCTCGACTCCTTCAAGTTCTTCTACAGGAGCATCATGCTCATAGTGCTCTGGGGCAGCTGCTGCATCAGCTTCGCCTGTGAACACTCAAGGAATGTCCGAAGCGCTAGCTCTAAAAATGAAAATGCCATGTCAGCAAACGTGCACGTTGGCAGTGCAACGCTCTCTCTCTCTCTCTCTCTCACGCGCAGCAAATGCAGTTTCGCTCTGACATCTGCTCTTACCTCCCCATGTCGTCCATTTGGCCTCCTCGGAAAAATCCGAAGCGAATTAGCTTAAAAGTCGGCGCATCTTCTCTGGGCAACATGCCTGCATCTCTTTCATCGAGCCTCTGGGTTGAACAGTTGTCAGTCCGGGTGGTGCTCTGGAAAAAAAACACAACCAAATATATATATATATATAGCTCTCTGTATCTCTGACAAGTTTGGTTTTCCCAACTGTTTGCACAAAATATCGCAAAAATGCTTACACACTTACAATATATATAATGGCAAAGCGGTCTATAAAAGTGTGCTTATAATGTGCTATCAACAAGGTTCAAAGAAACCGTTGAATTGGCGGATGTGCCAAGGGGCTGCTCAGCCTCTTCTATCAGCACCATCGCACGTGAAAAATTCCTCTGGCCCCTTGGGCCTGTGGGCGTACAGCTACAGCGGCCATTGATGCATGTTTACGCTACAAAAGGGGATCGCTGTTCGATCCCTGCGTGAAAAGCCTGAGCCACACAGCCACAATCCATCCCTAGCACTAAGCCATATGGAAATCCAACATGATTGATGTTTGAAACGTGACGCAGCTACGCACGTTGGTGCGCATGACCTGTGCACTTCAGTCAGTGCAAGAAGCCAGTGAAAGCAATTGAACATCTACAAGAGCTCACATCTGTGAATTACTGGACTACACTGACTATACCAACTCTCCTTGTTTCTTGAAATCTTGCACTTCAGCAAATCTCCAGCGTCAGTGGCTGAGCCAGGGGCAATATCCAGCTCCTCGAAGGAGATCATGCCACTTCCATCCGCAGCGTTCTGTCGGTCGGACAACAAGAGTCATCATGAGTCACTGGAACTGATTGGATCACCCAAGCCAAGTGCTCAAGCAGTGCAGACGTCAAACACCACAAAATCGAATCAACCTGCTGGCTTTTGCGCCACTCTCGCGCCTCTGCAAAGAATTGCGACCAGCTGGGCCCGGAGCCACGAGTTGCCTTCTTTTGCGTGAAAGCCTGGCTTGAGGGGAAACTATTTCTAGAAGAAGCATGCACTTCATGCAAGTCATCAAGCATGAAGGAATGGTGGGGCATGCGAAACTTAGAACGAACAAATTCACAAGCCGCATAAGCTAATTGATTCATTTGTTTTGAAGATTTGAAGCTGCCTAAATGACGCACAATAGGTCCGCGTTATTCTGTGTTACTACTTGAATCTATTTGACAGAGTCAAGGGCCTAGAGTCAAAGAGTCTTAGTTGCCACTACATTACACAAGCATGTTGTTTCGCACAGATGACTGCCCACCACAAGCGCTTGGTTGAGCCGCTCAGCCACTGAATGCAGCGCAGGGTCCTGGAGCAATGACGATTGTCACCGCGACGACGATGATGTCTACAGATTGAAAGCCGTGGTCCAAGCTAGAAGCGCAACGTTTAAAAGGACTCCCAGCTCATCAATGGTGCAACATCAAGAAACAACATGAATGTGCAATGCAAGTTAAAACCCGCCAAAAATCAAAAACCACCACCAAGAGAGCAATGCAAGGACAGGACACCCATCAACTTTTGTCAGCCTGCTACACACAACAATAGAAACTGTGCTTGAACACACACGCACAAACAAACGGCCTCAGCTCCTTTTGTTGCTTGAGAAATGACAAGCTGATGACAGATCCTGCGGAAGTTGGGCCGTTGACCGGAGGGACGTCTCTGATAGAGATGACCTTAGATCCAGGGCGCTGGCCGAGAAACAGCGAGGGTCAAAGGTCCGCAACTTCTCCTAGTTTAAAACTTGAGGTGCAATGGCCCATGCCCTTGCCATGTAGGCAATATAATCAATTGTCATACTGGGAATTGTTTTATGATATGCGGTGGTGCCAAAACTATTTTGTTCGTGGTGTGCATTCCAAGCAGTGAATGCAACTTGAGAAAAGGGAGGCAACCAGCAGCGCAAGATCAGCAGCAAGCCAGTAGCAAACCAGCAAACCAGAAGCAGCAACAACTCAGCAGCAACACCAACAGCAGCAGCAAAGCAGCAGAGCAGCAAGCAGCAAGCAGCAAACAGCAAGCAGCAAGCAGCAAGCAGCAGCAGCAGCACCGTAGACATAAGCAAGCACAGCCACATGCAGCTAGCACCCAAGTTGTAAGAGCCTTTCAAGAGGCTATACCTCCCCTCCATCTAAAGGCTGGCTAGATCTGGCTAGCATCAGGTGCTCAGTGGCTACTAGTAGTGGCTGTATGATGCTGTATGTGGATTGTCCCAGAGGGTTATCTGAAGAAGCGGCTGTTTCATCCCGTCTTAGCACTTGGCTGTTGCGCTCGGCTTGACTGTGAAGCCTGGCGGTCGATGTTCGGTCCCGAGGGGGATGAAGCCCAAATACATCAAGAACCCCTCAGCTAATACAGCATCCACGCATCAAGTCGGCCCCCTCACCTGCTTCGCCAGCATCTTTGGCTTGGCCTCCTCCCTGGATGCTGAGGGAGCTGCTTGCGGCGCAGCACTCGAGGCTTTCTCAGAGCTCGTGTGCTTTGCAAGCGTCAGCGGCTTCTTAGGTGAAACATGACCTGAGCTGTGCATCGTCTGGAATCGAAGGGTCGAGTCTATGCCATCGACATGTTTGTGGTACCCTATCCCAGCTCAATGTGTCTGCAGTTTAGATCTGAGCCCCTTTAAAGCTTCTGGTGTGCCCTGTTTCTCCTGACTAAAGTTCAAACAGTATGCTTCTTTGGGTGGCTGTGGTCAGCTGCGGCCACGCAGACCAGATAGAAACTATTCCAATGATGTGGCTGTGCTGGCAGGTGCTCCGATATGCTCCAATCATAAGTCTTCAACTGCAACTCTTCAACTGAGGGAAACTGGAACTACGTTGGTTGTTTCCATGGAGCAGCAGCATCAGCGTGTGTCATCCTGCTACACATGTCAATGTCAAAACCGACTGAGGGTGGAAACCTAGTTCTCTGCAGAGTCAAACCCTGCATACATCTGCATACATGGAGAACCATCCCTTCACCATTGTTCACCAAGTGGCTCGATGCTTGTTGAGTCATCGGAGGCAAGGCATTCTTGCCGCCTCTTTGCGGTCCTCGCGCAGACTGGCATGTTCCAGAGGATGCCTTGGTGAAGCTGGCGTTCTGCGAGCGGATCGTTGTGGGGCCCTACCAATCCTTCCAGCTTTTAGCTGTAATTGGATCCTTTGAGCGACGGTTTGAACCATCGAGGCTTTGGCCGGTCTCGGGGCGTTCGCCTCGACTGCCGGACCGTGACGACCAACTTTCGCATAATTTGGCAACTGGGAGCGGGAACATTCCTGGTGGCTGAAACGGGACAGGTATATAGTAACGTACATTACATATTTATATATATATATTTATAATTAGATGTGTTTTTTGTTTTTGAATGTATTTGATATTAATGACTAGTCGATCAATTATATAGATTTATATAATTGGTATGTGTTTCAATCGTGCGATCAGAGTATTGGGCTTCAATTGCGGGGTCTCCTTATCCCAAATCTTCGGGGAAGGCGCGGCCATCTTCCCCTCAAGGTCCAGACCGTTCGCCACCGAACCTGGGGGGCTGTGGTGCTTGAGAAGACTCTCTAGGAGGAAAGATTCTGCGCTTGTGGCCAATTCCTGCAGATTGCCGATCAAAGCAGCCGAAATTGAAGTTGTGGAGGATCAAACACAAAAATGAAAAAAAAAACTGTTTCCTGCGGCCCCCAGCTGTCGCGCCACCTGCACAGTACAAAAGGAAGTGGCACGCGGACGGGCTGACGCGGCACGCCGACGTGTCACATGGCGCTGACGCGTCACATTGCCTGGCCTCGAGCGCCTGAACGGGCCTCGGGGCGGAGTGGCACGTGATATCACGTGGTGGCAAAGGGAGAATTCGCACATTTCAGATGTGAAAATATATCAAAATCCTCACTCTATCACTTGCAACGAATCTTCAAGTTGTTTATCAAATCCCAGTCCGACTGATCCATTGAATCCATATTGGTCCGTTGCCTTCCTACCACACCCTGGGGCTCATGACACACTCAGATTCTGGACGAGCATCGACTGCAGCATCCTCTGCAGTTGGGGCCTTCACGTGGAGCATGGGGCTTCAACACCGATCTCTCCCTCTTTCAAGGGTCCCTCTCTTCAACACCGATCGTTCGCAAAGCTGGTCAAATCCATCAGGTCCCAACTGGGTCCAAGAACAATGGGCTATGTAGAGAAGGAATGATGCAAGTGTAGAACCACCTGATTGGCCAAGACAAACTGTGCAAAGCCAAGGTGCCAAGGCCATGCTTGATTTGGCACCTGCAGTTGGGAAAGACGTAGACCAAGTGCTTGAGACACATGAGATCACTTTTTTTGTGTCACTCTGCAGTTTACAGAGAGAGAGAGAGAGAGAGATGCAAAGGTTGAATTGGCCCAAACAAAGACATCGGAACTTTGTTGTATCTTTGTTGCGCTCGTTTCCTGCTTGGGTGGAAGGGACACAGGGACTGGTGAGAGGGTTGAGCTTTGACTCGCTGACCTTTCCACCACAGGAACTAACTACTAACTTCAGCCAGTTCAGTGCATCTCTTTTTCTATCTCTACACCCTCGTGAACCAGCTCCATAGGTCCGGCACGTTGCTTCGGTGCTGGAAAATGACTCGGTGGCCTCGTGAACAGGTAGGAGGCACAGGCCGCATAGGCCAGAAATGGTCCATGGGTGAAATGATAAAGCACGACCAAGAGGTTGGAGGCCATTGCTATTAGGAGCAAGGACGCTACTACGGGCTCCTGGCCTTACTACTAGGAACAAGAAGCTACTAGGGGCTCCCGGCATCGCTACTAGGAGCAAGGACGCTAATTACTACTTAGGTTGGAGGCCATTGCTATGTAAGGTTGGACGCAGCAATCACCAACCTATTTCAACCTCAGTCACCAGTCAACTCGCTTTTGCTTCGTCTCAAGATGTCTCGTCTTTCTGGTGGCCAAGTCGAGACCGAGCCCGCAACGTTGGCGTAGACGCGGCCGTGCTGGGTGTAGATGCAGGCACGATTCTCGAGACTTCTTCCTGGCAATCACATATCTTAATATCTGTTTAAGTGCTTTTTGCCCGGTGGGGGTTTTGTGTATAGTATTTCTACGCCGTCTCATACAAGTCGGTGGCATGCTCTTCGTGACTGCAAGGAGTTTGGCATGTTGAAAAGGCACCCTTAGTTGCCAAAACTTACTTCTCACTAGTTTTCCACCGATTTTCCTTAAATCTTCTACTCGTGTTCCATTCAAAGCTCCTACTCTCAGGAAAGCCTGTCCAAATCAAGCACAAGTCCTTTTCTCAGGGAACTGTATGTTGCGTGGTCTGTGCTTGGGCGCTATGTGCAACGCCTGAATGAAACATGCTATGACCAGCTCTTGGGTCATTGCTCCAGCACCTGCCATCAAGCCACTGCAGGTTGCTGAGAAAGCTGAGACAAACACTCACGTTGTTGGTATCGTGAAACCATAGCAGTCTGACCTGAATGCATGGGCAAACTCAGAGGCGGCAAAAACACAAGAATACATCAGAGAGTTGTAAACAATGACAACCATTTGAAGCCAAGCATGGTCAAAAGTTGCTCAAAACAAAAAAACAAGCGCCGGGCTTGGACATGCCGCGATTGACAGATGCTTCTTCATCTTCCCTAATCCAACTTCCATCCTGCAAATCCGCGATGAGCAAACTGGCAAACCACAATGCTGCAAAGGCAAGTTGAGACGCTGGTGTGCAAGGGGTTGGGTGAAGTGTTGTGAAAGAAAATGGCAGCTAATTCTCCTTGAGGCTGTAGACGTCAATCTTGGACGTTTGGATGGGTGGAAAGGAAGGGTCAATTGCCTCATGCAGCCCCGGAAACCAAACGCTAAATCGGTTTAGTCAAAGCATCAAGTTTGACTGAACAACAACAAACTCTGAGCTCTGGACTTTCTTAAGGTCATCCGCCTTTGAAATGAATCAATCTGAGCTAAGGGCTTTGTATAGCAACGTGATGACGACTTGAACGAAGCATGCGACGAAAGCATGAAGACGAACCAGCAAAAAAGGCAATAGCAAAGCTAAGGTCATTGCGTTCGCCAACTCTCCCTTGACTTGGAAAGCATTGCCAATCTGCTTGAATGTATCACCGTCCTGCAATTGCAACAGGCGGTGGGCGGCAGCAAAGTCTGCGCCTTTCGATAAGCAAGCGCAAAAGAACAATGCGCACGACAAGGAATGCAATGCATTACGCAAGAACTTTGATCTTGGAATGTGAAAGTTGCTGAGGGAAAACTCTTCATGAAGTTTCAGCTGAACAAAGCACTTCTGTTCTTAACCTACCACTAGTCAACGGCTTGAAATGAAACAAAGGCATAAACTGTTCCATTATATAACCTTTGCAAATTACAGCGCCTTTGTTTGATGCTTGAGTGGGAGAAATGATGGAGCACAACCCTGCTTTTATTCACACGACCAATCAACACTGGCTTTAGCACGGGAACTTTGCAGAGGAACAAAAAAACAAACATAGGGATCTAAAACAAGGTTGCTTCTTCAACAGATTTGCAAGTGTCAACGTCTTTGATGTTGAGGTGGGACTTTTCGTGTATTTTCGTCAATGAAAGTTCTTCCTTCACCTGGCAAAAGGGCACCGCAAAGGAACAAGGGCATGGCAAAACATCATACAAAGTCTTAGTCTAAATCCTCTCTATCAAATTGAGGAAGATGTTGAGAAGATATCATTCAACAAATCCTGAGGAATAAATACGCTACTGCTAGTATTTTATGCGTAAAACATTTACTTCCCTCAAAAGAACATGACAAAGGAACAAGCAAAGGGCAAAGAAACAATATGTTGCGTCTAAGTCCTTTCGAAGTTGAATATGAAGACATCCAAGTAAACAACCGTGCGATCGCCCCAACCGTGCTGAAACAAAACGCAACAAGGCAAAGGATGCCAGAAAGAAGGCTGAACAAACCACTTGTATTCTAACCTAACACTAGTCAGAGGAACTTGCAAACAGAACAAAGGCATAAACTGTTGCATTGGCTCTTGCATAAAACAATGCTTTTGACGCGAGTGGGAGAATTGATGGAGCACAAGCCTACTTTTATTCACAAGGCCAATCAACACCGTTTTTAGCACACGAACCGTGCAAAGCAACACATGAAAGGAACTAGGGATGACAAGGCTGCTTGTTCAACACTTGCTGTACCACTCAAAAGGTGAGATGTTGAGGTGGGAACAGTCAAATGGACATGGCACAGGCACGGCAAAACATCATACAAAGTCTTTAGTCTAAATTCTCTCTATCAAATTGAGGACGATGTTTGGAATACATCGTTTAACAAATCTTGAGGAATGAACAACCCTGCGATCTTCTCCCCAAAAAGTGCTGAGCCGTGTCAAGAACATGAAATTACAGGGTATCATTTTCAATAGCGGGCTTGCACATGATCTCATGTTTGACTTGGAGCATGGCTTTTCGTCAATAAAAAGTTCTTCCTACACCCGAGAAAAGGGCACGGCAAAGGAACAAGGGCATGGCAGAAAATCGCACAAACGTCTTTAGTCTAAATCCTCTCTACCAATTTAAGGCAAATGTTGGGAAGATATCATCAACAAATCTTGAGGAATGAACAACCCTGTTATCTTCTCCCTAAAAGACTGAACCACAGCAAGAACATACAATGTCAAGGTAATGTCTTGCGTAGCGGACTTTCCCACAATCAGCATCGTGTGAACACCCTCAGCCTATATTGTTGTGAACAAAAGCTCAATCAAACCAATTCCATCCTTCTTTTTCACTTGGAGGAATTTTGAACTTGAGGTGGGGAGCGTTCAGAATCCATTGTCCTAAACCGAAAGGAGCGTTCACCAAAGGAATTCTAAAGATGAGTTGTGTACCTTGTTGTCTGCAACTGTTGTCAGTCCTTTTGCAGTTGCCTCACCCAAACAGCTTTGGTCTGAGTTGGAGAGGTGGCACCTTGCAGGGCACGAAGATAACAAGTTGGGTCTTTGCAAGGTCTTACTTTGGTCAGCTATTGTGCATAATCAGGAGCGTTTGCGACAAAGCGGAAAAAACGAAAACTTTACATTAAAAATCCAAAAAAAAAACATCCCTGCCCGTCTGCAAGTAGAATGCTTTCTCACATTCTTAATGTGATGTTCTTCCAAGCCAGCCCTTTCCCTTCAGTCCCCCCGCCTGCAAGAGTTGGGATTAAGACTGGTTTGATGCCGGATAGCAGAAATTGCGCGATATCCACTGGCTTCCATCCACCGTCAGGCATCCTTGCCCCTTCACAAATTCTCCTGCACCCAAGCCTCATCCTGCTTGAACTCTTTGAGGGATTCATTTAAGGCTCTCTGGACTGTGTCCTCCGACTCCTTGGTGGTTCTCGTGAATGCATGTAACATCTTGCGCCACCACCTTGTTTTGCGGGACTTTCTCCAGTCCTCCAGCTTTGCAGTTGCGTTCAAATTCAGGAGTCTGCATGCTTGTATCTCATTCCATCTGTACTTGCTGACATTGCACTTCTGCTGTGGCGATACACGTGTTCGTGCCCCATTCAGCAAACCAACTTCCTCAGCAACTTCACGCGACTGCGTGACGACCACAACTTGTCCATGTTTGAAGGCGGCGCGGGCAAGGCTTATCAACATCTCCCCACGCTCACCGAGTTCCTTGTCAACATGTTGTCAAGAACCAATTGCAAGCGAACTCCCGCGTTTGACAAGGTTTGCTGCAACAGCCGGCACGTAGGCTTCATCGCTAACTCGAAAGAAATCTTTGAGAAGCTTCAGGTTTTCTTGTATCAAAACAGTGATGCACTTTGGGTTGTGTTTTGCCCACATCAGCATGGCTAAAGCTACCGCAACCGACTTGCCCGTGCCGGGTTCCGCATGAATCGCAGAGACTCCCGTGGAGGTCGCATCGGATAGCACACTCGTCACCAAATGCTGAAACAAACTCTGTGCCATTCACGGGGATGAGTGGTATTGAGATGTTGGGCACAAAGATGTTTCGGGCTTCCTGTGACATCTTGGCTCTATCCATCAGTTTATCCGCAAGGAGTCTTGCGCGGTGGTGGGCATCGTTGACATTCTCCAATAGTTTCAGCTTTTCAATCGGACGTTCAAAACTTGCTTTCCAATGCCCTTCAATGATATCCCTGCCACACTGGCAATTGGGTCAAGAAATGTTGCCAACCAAGGAGCCTCTGCCGACCTTGCAGTCTTGCTTGAACGCTTGTATCTGTCTTGCGTCGTTCGAGGTATCTCAATCAAAGCCAAGAAAAACTTGCCAACTAGAATGGACAAAGCCAGTGCAAAGATCTTGAAGCGGCGTTTTGCCATGGGAACATTGCAGGTCTAGACAAGTATAATGTATGTGCATGACACGAAGGTTGATGCATATACATTTTTTTAGTTATGTTATTTTTATGTCAAACATCATCTATATCTTGTATATATACAACCAAATGATGTTTGTGCTGTTCGGTCGCACATCAGGAAAGGATTGCAAAACCCTGCTCTCAGAAGAAAAGCCACGAGCATGGCACAAATCAATCCACACATCCAAGCTTCATGGAGACCTGCCACCAATCGGGAAAATCTACCATCCATTTTGCAGAAAATCAGCCACCGACTTTGGCACGAAATCCGTCGAATTGCGGAAATCTATCACCGATTTCGGGGAAATCCGTCACCGATTTTGGGAAAATCAGCCACCGATTTTGGGGAAATCCGTCACTGATGTTTGAAATCCGCCGCAGACTTTGGGAAAAATCTGCCACAGACTTTAGGAAAATCTGCCACAGACTCGGTTTTTGGATTGGCTTGGGACAAAGCTCAAGTTTCATTGTTTTGAACGCTCAGCATGTTGGGGTTTGGGTTTTTGAGGTTTTAAGACTCGGTGTCTCTAGAAATAAGGCAACTCTATGGCAAATTGGAAGGGTGAAATGTTCAATCCTATGAACTTTGATGTCGAAACTGTGTTGGGTTTCGTGTTAGGGACTTGTATGAGGTGCTACAAGCACAAATTGATACTACATAGTATAAATATACTTCAACAAATATTAAGATATATAACTAACTATATATAAACGATATGCCTTGTTACTTTGTAAGTAGTGGATTCTGAAATCCCGATGACGAATGAAACCTTGACTCTATTTGGAACGGTTTTGGAAGCAAAGAGCTGACTGACAGCGAAACTGTTTCTTCATCGGAAGAAAGCTATGAAGCAATTTCATCAGTCCAAAAGCCAACAAAACCCAATGGAGAAAGCAGGACAGCAGGACGACGGATATTACAACAGAAGACCGAAGGACGAAACGTATTTCCAAAGATATTACCAAGAGAAAACGAAACAACCGTGTGTATGCGATATATGCGGCTGTGCCATGAGCTGCAAGTCAAACTTGGCAAAACACAAGAAAACCAAAAAGTGCCAGAGGTTCTTGGTTTGAGTTCACTATGTCTTTTAATGATACAATAAAATATAATAAAACTATAATCTAATTTTAATGATACAATAAAATATAATAAAACTATAATCTAAGTTTTTTTAATGACTAGATTGGAAAAAAGGTATTGGAAAGAATATACTACGACGTGGAGGACGGCTTCGGTTCGGTGAGGGACTTATACGAAAAGGCTAGGAAAGTCGATGTAGGCATAACTTTGGATATGGTCTCTACATGGATGAGGGCGCAACCCAACAAGCAAACAAGAACCTACAAGAACTACAATTCTTACACTGCTCCGTTTCCCAAGTATGAATTTCAAATTGGCTTGATGGATGTCACCAGTTTGCTGCGAGACGTAGGTTCAGAAATCAAAAGTCAAGTAAGATATGGTTTAGTTTGCGTAGATGTATTCAGCAAAAAATGTCACGTAGTCCCTATCGAGAATAAAGATGGTGATGACGTTTATAAAGCAGTCATGGAGTGTTTCAAGGTATTAGGTCATCCTTTGTCGATTTACAGCGACGACGAAGGAGCGTTGAACAGCAAGAAACTGCAAACATTCTTTAAGGAGGAAGGGATAACACACGTAATAACAAATACGCACGGTCAAAAAAATGATTGGAGACAGATTGAGGCATTACAAAACCAAAACATGGGTGAAAAACATGGGTGGAAGTGCTAAAGCCATCATTGAATAGATACAACAACCAAATCCACAGTAGCACCAAAACAACACCAAATAATGCGCACAACCTTGATAACGTAATTCAGGTCAGAACAAATCTGATACTGAAAGAAAAACGCAACAGAAAATATCCAAACATAAGTGAGGAGACTATGTGAAGATATGTGATAAAGGAAAGGGCAACTATGTATCAAGAAAAGAAACTAGAAGTCAATGGAGTGAACAGAAATACAAAGTGATATTAGTTGGTCGGGATATGATGAATAATAGATATTATAAATTGGATGGAATGAGTAAAATATATAATAGGCATGAAATGCTATTGGTTGATTAGTAACTGTTCTTCGTTATGTTTTCGATTTCTCTTCTTTTTGCATTTATTTTATCGGTGTCTCTTTTGTATCTTTCCCTTTGTTGTTGTCTTATTGCGTCTTTGTTTTCTGCTCTATGCTTTGAATTCTTCTCATAATATTTATCCTTATGATTGTCGTGTTTTGTCTTTTCTTGTATCTTATTTTTAGTGTTCTCATGACGCTGTTTGTTTTTTCTTTGTATTTTTCAGAATTCTCTATTCTAATATGTTTTACTGTTAAAGGTGATGCTCTCTTGTGGCATCGCAGTATTCCTTTCTACTCCTACCAGCGATACATCTGTTAAGACCGTTCTTATCATTTTCAATATATCCACCTTCTTCCTTTTCGAGTTGCTTTCTGTTTTGGCATGGGTATTCTGCAATCAGAACTAGTTCGCAGTTTTCAAGACCGAACTCATCAAACGATTTCATTGAGTTAGGATGGTGTTTGTGGGGCTTGTATTGTATATAAACAATATTTATAAACTCTTCTATGTCTTGCCATTCTTTGACATAATCTTTCAGTTGTTGAATTTATATCCATATATCTTAAATCATCTCTTCGTTATGTAAACATGTATGGCATAATGTCCAAACGGGAGACTCTCAAAATCTGAATACCAGTAGCGTTTATTGTCGTAGTTGCTTAAAGCGTATTTAGTCTGATTAATGCTGTAAATTTAATGGTTCTTACTTCTGATAGTATTAAAACTGATTTATTCTTTACAGTTTCTATTCAGTGTCTCTTCATAAGTTTTGTAACTTAACTGATTGCTCACTTTATGCTTGACTACTCCTTTACTTTTCTTGTGTTCTTTCTCATCACCATATACTTTATAGCAATATGCCTTTGGTTTCAATCCTATAAAGTGAGTAACTATTTTACCGGTTCATTTCACCCTTGAATTTTCCTAATACCTTCTTGTTGTTTTATCATAGTTTGGATGCTCTGGTGGGTTATCACTAAAGTCCATGTAGTCATTAGTCTCCTTTAAAGTCTTCATATAAGTCATCAGTCTCAACTTTGACTACATAGCTATCAGTATCAGTATAGACCCATGAATAATATTTTGACATATTGATTTCAAAACATCATAATAAAAGGAATACATGTGAAGTTTAGAATATATAGTCTAAAATACACATACCAATCTAATTGGGTTTGTTTAGTTCCACTGTGTGTTTATCTTTCTCAACAATTACAAGGCCTTCATTTATAATATGCCTGTGATTGAAAAGTGGTTTATTTACCAGCTTTTGGAAGCGTTCACGTGTACTAACTATCTCACAATCACCAGGCTTTCTTACATGTTCCATGGTCTTGCCGTATACGCTGTTATTCATTAACTTAAACAAATCTGTTTCAAAATCGTTTTTGGCATTCTGGCATTCTGTCTCTTTTCGGTGTTGAATTCAAGGAATGGTTTCAAGAAGTTTGCTTGTTTAAAACTTATTGCTCTATGGACTTTTCTGAGACGTAATCCCTGCTGCAATTGGAATTTCAATGCTGATATGTGTAGAACAGATTTCTTCTTATCCATCGCATTTAATACTAACTTAATTGTCTTTTCATCACTGGCATCTTTTCCATAACAGTATTTGTGTCTATCCTTTTGGGCTTGTGAAAGCATATTCTCATTGATACACATGATTTCAGGCGCTAATGGATAGTCTTTATGTAAATCATGTAGTTCTTTTGGATAATCTAAATCAACTTCTAATATGTATCCTACGTCATCATCATCACAATGTTTCATTACTCTCTTTTCATCCATTCTACCGTAAGGCCAGTTAAAAACATCACAGGGAAGCTTCTTACACATTGCTAATCCATAAAGGTTATTAGCATCTAAATCACTTATGTATGATGACGGCTTAGATTTATCACAACCTTCATTCATGTATTTATTGTTTGCGTCTACTTTCTTGAAGGAGCACTGTGACATTCCTCCTCTTAATCCATGTTAAATCATCTCATACATCTATTTTAAATGTATTTGTTGTTGTCTAACTCCTGTCAATGATACAAAGGCATTCCAAGAATAGTTAGGTAAAGCGACATAATATGCTGAGTCTAATCCAGAATAGTTTAAGCACATGTCCCTAGAATTTTAAAAAAAATCAGTCAGTAAATATACATCAGTCATCAAATACA